AGAGAGAGAGAGAGAGAGAGAGAGAGAGAGAGAGAGAGAGAGAGAGAGAGAGAATAAAAACAACAACACATGAGTTGCACTCTGTGATGGGCTTGGGACTTGTCCAGGGTGTACCCCGCCCCTCGCACAGTGACTGCTGGACTCCAGGGACCCTGAAAAGAAGAAGTGTGTAAAAAGATAACGATGGATGGAAGTTTCACCTGACTATAATGCACAGAACCGCCCAAACTATAAAAAAGTGTGACTTATAATCCATAAAATATGCTACATGTTTTCCTAATGTGCAGAAGCCTTTTTTTGTGTCGTGGCTGTAAAAGAAAATAGGATATTACTGTTTTATATAGAAGTAATGATGCACTGCAATGTCAAAGATATTTAAGAAAAAAAAATGAAGGAAAAGTCCTTACCACATCCAATCATTTTACACAAGCATAGAGATTTAAAATACTGTAAATGAGTATTTGTCCAAACACTACAGTAACTAAAGTAAATTCACAAATGTTTTAATAGAAAAAGGTGGCTCAAAAGTGGTCAAAACTTCCATATAGTCTGTAAAAGTAAGGAAGTGTCTTCATGTTTACTGTCTACGTCCTGCGATGAGTTGGAGATTGAAGCTTCCCTTCATGGTGTCCTCTGTTATCAGTTGTAGAGCACAGCCAACAATGTGAGCAGTCACAGTGACAACAAAGCCACCTTCCTGTGGGAGTCGGTGTGAAGTTAAAACAGAAAGTGTTCCCATCCTCACGGCACGCCAGCTGGAGAATCAGCACCACCAACTGCTCAACGTGTTAGTTTTTAGGACTGTGCAAAAAGAGCTGCGCTTCTTATGTAAAAACTGTCTGTCATTTTTTCTGCAACTTGATTTAATTTACATCTACCTGTCCTTTTAGCGTCCCATCTGGTGTGTGATGGCAGACAGGGCTGCAACTGCCACCTCCAGACTCATGGAGCTGCACTGTGAACATTTAATCGTCTCCACAGGAAACTGAACCCTCAGATGATGGAGCTGAACTCAGACCAGAGGAAGGATGGATCCTTAAGCAGGGCGTCTGACGGACTGTAGCGTCGTCTCATGGCTGAGGTTCAGCAGCTTCCTCTTAATCTGCCCACAACACTGATCTGAAATCCCTCAGTTGTTGGATTACTGACGTGACGGGGGAACCACGCTGCCTGGGGTGGGCACCTGTGAGCAGTTTGTGTGTCTGTGGTGTCGCCTCTCATCATGGGGAAGGAACAAGATCTTCTGGTGGCGGTGAAGAATGGAGATCTGCTGCAGACTCACAAGCTGCTTTCCAAACTTAAGTGCAACAAAACCAGTAAGTATAAATGTTAAAGAGGGTCAACAGGGGGTTCATGTTTGTAACTGCAGTGTTGTTGAGGCCTTTGTTTGTTTCAACTGTGAAATGTTACTGAAGTTAAAGACCTAGCATTCCTTGAAGGAACATGTGACTCCATCACATCGAAACAAGGATTAAGTTTAAAAATGGGATGTCGAGAAATGGGCAGATATAGGGTTTTGATTTACTCTATTTATTCATGTATAATACTAGAAATGTAACCCTAAAACTCATCCATAAAGTGGGGGAGTAGTATTATACACAGTTTATTGATAATTAGATTTTTAATGTTTTTTAAGCTCAAAAAATGATGATTGTATTATACATGAATAAATACGGTAAACGTGTGCAAAAATTGCATTTTGTCAAAATATAATGATTTAATACCTTATCAATTCAATTCAAATTCAAAAATACTTTATTGATCCCAGAGGGAAATTAGGTGTTGTTGTAACTCATTTAACTAAAGAATTATTGTAGATGCTGTATCAATGTATCATTTGAATGAACTGTCTGAAATATAATGCTAAAAAAATTTTGAAGCATTTTTTTAGCAGTAGCAACAAAAACTGATTTTGAGGAAAATTGCCTTCAAATTTTGAATTTTTCCCTGTGAGCTAGCAATGTTTTTGTGTCTTTTCAACTGGGAAATCTTAATTTACAAAAACTATTTGAGGTTTCCTCTTTTTATTGACATCAAAAATTACTCAATAAATTTACATAAAATTAGGATTCAGACCAAACAGTAATGTATTATGGTAACCAACAAGACAAATTAAGTCATATCTCTAGATCCACTTATGATATCAGAATGATCCATGTATCAAAATGTACTGTAGCTTTTAAAGCCAAGAATCTGAAAATATAATTAGATCATTTTGACCAAATTTGACTTAATCCTCATTTCGATATGATGGGTCACAAATAGAGATGAAATTTTATATAATCTCAAGGGACTTGAGATGTTTATAAAATCTAAAATTTGAACAAATTTGAAGGATCGATGCACTTCAGTTCAAGGAATAAGATTGTGGAATAATCTGGAAAGTGATAAAAATGTTGGTTCAATGTGTT